TAAATTTTAATACAAAAATTCCAAATTATAAGTTCATATAAAAAGGATTAATATCTTTTAAGAAATAAAAAGAAAATTCTTAAAAGTTTATGATTATAGTGATTCAAAAATATTTAAAAAGTTTATTTCTTTATTTTGACTAAATTTTGGCAAAAATTATTAATCCCTAAATCTTTGACCGCCTCTTTGTTTTCTGGCCATATCTTTCACAAAATTAAGGAAATATTTTTTTAAATAAGTTGATAATGATGTGTATATATTATCATAGAATTATTCTTTTTCTTATAGATATTGTCGAGTTAAAGAAAAAATCCCTAAAATTTTCACCGCCTTTTAATTCCGTATAAATACATTGATGAGAGTTTTCGTCAGCGCATATCCAGCTACTACGTTTTAAAATTGTTCGGGTAGTTGGTGGCGATATATCAAAATCACCGGCGAGCTTTCTTAAAAGAAAGTTAGTCGGTAGGTTTGTAGAAACGTGCATATGTTATTGTTTCATGATAAGAAGAATCACACAAAACTTTTAAGTAGAAGATGGAAAAAAAAACTACATTTATTTTATTAGAGCAGAGAGATGGTTCGTTCATCCGCTATTTTAATTACATCTCCCAACAAAGATGAAGATCACATTTATGAAATCGGATCAAAAGTTACGACTTCTGATGATTAATAATTGTAACGGTGATGATGACAACTCAATTTTCAAGAGCGACGTAGACGCTGCGTTAGTGGGAAGACGGGGAGACCGTGGGAGAAAGAGATTTGGTTAGCGGTGGAACTGGCTAACCTTCTCTTCTTCTTTGATCTTGTCACATAGATACTTGTATCTCAAGTAAACTATGACAAACCCACGAGCAGCTATACATAATACTTTCAGAATCGTAACTACACATGTCGATGCTTTAAATATCTTCTATTTTAATTTTCTCTCATACTCATATTTTGATCATAAATCATAACCATGTTTTTATGCGTGAAAGTTCATTTATATATTATGATTTTATTTTTATTTTGACTTCAATCATCAATCATCAATCATCGATTGTTACTATGTCTTTTTCTTGTGTGTGGCTCACTCTGGCGTTACATCCACATCTAATGGATCACTTTGCCTTTCCTCCTTCCCATGCTATATTCCGTAGAGATCAGCCTTTTTGTTACTTGTAGGTCTGCACCACCACCTAATATACTATGCTTATATTTATTAAATTGTTTGTCATGTGAGACTAAGAGTAGTTTATATTGTTTTGGAGAGAGTAAAGCCGAAATAGTCCGACTGAGTTTATGAATGGTAGATATGCTAATGGGAATAAGTGTTTGCAAAAAGACAAAAATAGTGATAGCTTTCGAAAAAATATTGTGAAGACAAAAATTCATATACATATTGAAAAGAATGTGAGAAAAACTATGAGTTTCTTTTTTTTTTCTTTTGTCAAAGGAAAAATCTGTGTTGTTTAAAAAAAATATAGATAAGTTTATGAGTATACTTTTGTAAAGAATGTTATGTTTACAAGAGCTATATTAACTAATGCAGTGAGTGAGATAGACGAAAAACTATAGTGAATTTATGCATACCAAAATAAGAAAGTCGTCGAAGTAAGTCTCCATACAATAATTTCTTTCATGAGATTCAATCAAAATATCGTATGTGAAAAGATCCGGTCATCCAAAATAGCTAAAGAGAGAAATTAAACAAAAAAATATTCCTTTGATAAATGTTTTAAAATCCTAAAAGTTGTATTAGAGTTTTTTTTAGTTCTGTATTTAAATTGAACTATCTGCTAATTTTTAAATTCAAAAATTTAAACTATTAACAATAAGTAGACAAATAAAAAAATATATTTTCATACTTTCAATAAATATTATTAGTAATACAAAATATTACTAAAACAGATCCGCGCGTAGCGCGGATTCAGAATCTAGTCTATACTATATAAAAGTCGAAGCCATAAGCTTCTGAGGCCGTCCACGTGGGCTTTTAAACAACCAATTGGGGTTAGACATGTCATTAATTAACATATTTTGATTATGATAATTTTCTATTTAAAAGTTTAAGTAAAAAGGAAATAAAAAAACAATAAGAGAAATATTTGAAAATATAGAAATATTTCGAATTATAATCTCGTGTTATTAAAAACAAAATATAAATAATCAAAATGTAAAGTTTTAATATTTTAAAGATTATTAAATTTAGAAACGAAATATCTAAAAATATGAAACAATTCTGAATATAAATTTTGTCAAAAAAAGAGAAATATTTGACAATATAGAAATATTTCAAATTATAATAGTGTGTTCTATAAAAACATAATATAAATAATCAAAATCTAAAGTTTTAATTTTTTAAAGATTATTAAATTTATTTTTCTATACTATATAAAAATCGAAGCTATAAGCTTACAAGCTGCCCACATGGGATTTAAAACCACCAATCGCTATTAGCCACTTCATCGGTTAACATTTTTATATACCATTTTAATTAACATTTTTAAATTTTAATATTTTCTAAACTTAAATATTAATAAAAAGGAAAAGAAAAACAATATATGGAAAGAAGAAAAATGTGAATTTTTGAAATAACAAAATATAGAAATAAGAAAAATGTAAAGTATATATTTCAATATTATGATGCAATAAATATATTTTTATTTGGAAAATTTCTAATTAAAAAATGTAAAATTACAGAAGGTAATTATGACGATTTGTCCTAGACATTAAACTATAAATATTGAACCTCGACCACACAATTAGTATTCAATTTAAAAAGAATTTACTATTATGCGGCTTTGATTTTTTTACTCGTGCTACATATTTTTTGATTTATTTTTCTATGAACTATAAACAAATATTGTTTAATTTTGCTGATTTTACACTGTTTGATTTCTCAGGTTACACTAATGAATCAAGTCTAGCTTCATTCAACCTTGACTTTTAAAGCAATTACAAGGTATTATTGATCCTAAACTATATGTTTTTCTTGTGTTGATATTTTTAATTACTTTATGTTATATATATGCATGAAAAGTGGTACGCATGTGGAAAGCAAAGAAATCAAATAAAAAAGTGAAAAGAAGTATATATTGAAGAAGAAGAACAAGAGGAGCAAAAAAATAATTTTTTTTAAAAAATAATAATTATATATAGGGTTCAATATATTATAATCGTTTGATTAATCTGAATTTTCTGTTTTTGAATTATCTTTTTAACTATGCAAAACTTCTTCAAAGACCAAAGTTTCGCGTGTTTGTTTGCCAAATCTAACCGATTGCGATGACAATTATATTAAAGATGGCAAGTGACTGTTTTTTTTGTTGAAATTATACGTATTATTTTCGATCATCTTTTTATCATCAATAAGAGTACAAGTATGAAGGAGTAGATTTATATTATGAAAATTCTATTGTTATTCAATTTAAGATTTTTCAAAACTCTATCAAAGTTTGATGTTATTTGTTTATGTATTTTGTAAATAATGATCTAAAATCTTAATAAATTTGGAGTTATTGGAGACCATAATTTTAAAAATTTTGAAGCTCTAGAAGGTATACAAATTTCATAGCTTAAGTTGAAGAATAAGAACAAGAGAAGCAAAAAGGTATTTCTTATAAAAAAACAATAATAAGAATTTATATAGGGTTCTATATATTATAATCGTTTGATTAATTTGAATTTTCTGTTTTTGAATTATCTTTTTAACCATGCAAAGCTTCTTCAGAAACCAAAGTTTGACGTGTTTGTTTCCCAATCTAACCGATTACGATAACAATTATATCAAAGATGCCAAGTGACTGTATTTTTTTTTTTTTGTAATAATACGTATTATTTTCGTGTATCTTTTTATCATCAATAAGTTGACAAGTATGAAGGAGTAGATTGAAGAAAATTATATTGTTATTCAATTTAAGATTTTTCAAAACTCTATCAAAGTTTGATTTTATTTGTTTATGTATTTTGTAAATTTGGAGTTAATGGAGACCATAATTATATAAATTTATAGCTTAAGTCGAAACCACTAGCTTCTTACTACATAAAAGCCGAAGCTATAAGCTTCTGAAACTGTCCACAAAAATTTAAAAGACTAATCACGATTAACCATCACAATTTTAGAATATATATATATATACTTATAAAAAAACAATATATATATATATATATATATATAAACAAGAAAAATGTAAACTTAAAAAAAACATATGCAAAAAAGAAAAATGTAAAAATTTTGTTATTAGAATATATAAAATAATATCATTATCAATCTCACCAAATTTGCCAATATCCCTTCTTAATCACAATTAGGGGTCGACATTTTTAATTTGATGTCGAGTTATATTTGATTTTGTTATTTCGATTTTAATAAAACATCAAGTCTCTAATCAAACTCATTTTGGTTCATTTTAATTCGGTTTGAATTAATTTGGTTTGGCTTGATTAGGTTTGCTATTTAAAATAAATTATTTATAAAATTGAAAGAATGGCAATAAATTGAAGTAAGAAAAATAGAAATTTTATAATTGGAATAAATAAATAAAAATTTTGAATAGAATAATCAATCAAGTGGTATGTGAAAAAAAAAAAGGTTTACAATATATACATGTAACATTTGTAAGTTTATTCATTTGCTTCTTTTCATTTAAATGTTGATTGATAACTTTTCATGTCTCAAGTTTGATGTTCGGATATTAGATCATTTTAATCACTAAAATTTTGAAGTCTTTTTTTATATACTTGAGTAAAATATGACACACCATATTTGTAATATGTTTTATACCAAATTTTATCATATAGTTTTTTTTTTATTAAAACAAATTTGTAACAAACATAAATGGTATTAAAAATATAAAAAAAAAACATCATTTATGCTAAAAGAATTTTAAAAATGAAACATTATTGTAATTCATTGATTATTAAGCCCAAAAATATATTTAAACAATCAATAAAAGTAAACCCCCGCGTAGCGGGGGTTATAACCTAGTTCTTATATAAAAGGTTAAGAGATTTTTAAACATTCAAATATTACCACAACATTACAAAGACACAACACATACATAGTTCAACAAAAAGCCAAACAAAAAAAAAACACTGAACATGAAAAAAGACATCATGATGAAAATACATAACTACCGTTCATACTGAAAACTCATCATGCAGCCGTCGTCCTCCCCTGAGTCTCATGACCCTTAGTGGTAGTGTCATGTGACTTAGAAATATCATATTGTTTAACATCTTGGGCCTTGCTCTGCACATGCTGGCCCATTTCTTTGCCCTTCTGTCCAGCGTAGCCCACCGCATCAGCCATTCTCCTCTTAGCATACTCCAATTGCTCAGGCACTGTCCTCCTTGTCCCACGAAGGTAGTTCATGACCCATGAGATTGAGCTTAGTCCGGTTAGACCGAACATTCCTGAGGCTAAGAAGCCTGTCATAGCAAGCCCGATGGTTAGAGCCGCTGGGACTATAACCGGGCTAAAGAGGAGGAATAGCGGTAAAGCGACCATTAAGCCGATCACCGAACCAGCTAGAAGTAAACCGGCCAAAGCAAGTAGCGAACCGACGACAGGGACTCCAATCAAAAGGGACAATACCTTTATAAAAAATGATACAATTAAGTTCACGATTATTACATTCAAATCAAGACAAAGAAAGTATATGCATGCAAATTTAATTAAGAAAAAAGGTATATGCGTAAAAATTGTAACGATTGGGACATTTCATTTTAAAATTTATTATATTCAATTAACAATCATAAAACCAGAATAAGAAAAGGTATAAATGCATGTAACCATATTGATCCGAAAGTTTAAAGTGACACTTCAAAAATTATGTTCGATTAACAATCATAAGCATGAAATAAAAAAATGTATAATCACAATTCCATTTCAATTTGACCATTTTTTGTGATCTTTTGAAGATCACATTTAACTTACAAATTACAATCATAATAATAAGATCAAGAAGACATTTTCTGTAACCATATAAATCGAACAGTTTTAATGTACAATTTTACAGTGTCAAAATCATTCATATTGTATTTAAACAAAAATTATAAAACTCCTTGAACATAACTTTCTTATCATAACTTTGTATGTATGAAGTATAATAGAATGTATTTTTATATAAAAAGACATTACTTGGGTGGTAGATGGGCCACTTTCAGGCATCATGCTCTTGTAACCGCCGCCACCGTAACCTCCGCCACCTTCATACGGCGACTGAAATTGCAAGTGCCTATCAGTACGGTCAACACGATGTGTATCCGCCATTGTAAGATAATGAGAAAATGTTTTACTTATTTTCTTTGTAATAAAACTAGAAAAGTTTGGAGAAGGTTTATTTATAGAAGAAGTTAGAGTGATGAGAAGAGGACACGTAAGACGGTGAGATGTTAGAGTAATAGAGGTGTGGCTTTGCATGATTTCCAAGTTTCAACTTTTTTCTTCTTTTAGTTTTTATTTTATTTTATTTCACGAGATTTAAAAGATGTTTTCGCTTTCTCCGCTGACACGAATTTAAAGCAAGACAAAATAAAAACCTATGCATGTATATGTATTACTTCAGTCCAAAGTCTAAAAAAAGATCTCAACTTGTAAAATATAATTTTTTTGAAAATACATAGATTCATCAAAATAAATTAAAAGTTTCATAATATGTAACTAACGAATCCAAAAATATGCATGTAATCCATAGTTATAGATATTTATATATCGCGACCAACGACCAAGAAAATAAATTTACTTCTCCTTCAACACATCTGCATCTCTCATTTTTTTCTGTCGCAACGACTGAATCTCAGAATTCCGGAAAAACCATGGACATAGATAGACGGAAAAGACGATGGAGAGAATAATTTGCACAAAAAAATTGAACTTTTATTGGGAATTTGCAAAATTTACAATTATACCTTTCAAAACACTTAAAATTACAATATGTAGTTGTTAATAAAAGAGTCGCAGGGAGAGTTGCACGACTCTAAAAAGAACACGGTCTTAGTTGAAAATTGGGAAAATACACTAAAACAAAACCAATGTGATTTTAGGCGGTCGAAACGGTCGTTTAGTACCTAACGCCTAATTAGAGTCTAGGCGACCGTCTAACCGCTTTTTAACACACTTGTTATAGGTCAAACACACTTAAATGTTGAATTCTCTTTAAATAGATTTTATATTTCATGTAACAGATGATAAAAAGACGAAGAATCATAGTGTTTCCTCAACAAGCCAAAGTTTTGAATTTAAATCACGATCGATGTAATGTTTTTTTGTCTGCCAATTCACAACTTCAAAAGAAAATTATATCAAATCATGAATATTTTCAAATTTTTGTGCATTAATACATGGATTTTACAAATTATAGGGTTGGCTTTTACGAATTATATTTAGAAGAATTATTATTGATCCGAAGACAATAATTTCTCTTGTACACAAAAATTTGCAGTTCTCTTTTAATATAAGTTTAAAGTACACAAATAGTTGTAACTTGTAAGCTGGGAAATTGTTGTTGATTAATTAGCCATATGAAGAAAATACTATGTCGCTCAATTAAAATAGTACACCACATAACATAACACATATATGTTTAGTAACAAGATAGATAGAGATCTAGACACTAAAACGAAAAAGGTGCTTGAAAAAAGAAAAAGATAGATAGATAGATAGATTTATTATCGGGAAAATTCCCAAAAAAAACCTCAATTATTTTTTATTTGGACGTTTAATACCCAATTGTTTTCGGTTGGAAGAAAAATACACATATTAATAAAATTGTGCGATTTAATATCCAAACAATTAAATGTTGTTATTTTCATACTCACGATCTCACAACAAAAATAAAATTCCAATTTTACCCTTACTATCTCAATTAATTATTAACTTTTAGATTACATGACAATAATTTTTTATTTAAATAAAAATTAATTTTATTAATATTTCATTTCTTTGTTATCCCAAAAAAAATTCAAAAAAAATTTTCAAAATAATTTGCAGTTTATTTTACAAATATTTAATTTTTAAAAATTAAAAATAAAATTAATTAGCAAAAAATTTAGAAAAAGTAAAAAAAAAATAGCCATTTTTATGAATTGATAAATCTTGAGAGAGACGATGAGATTCGGATTGAGATTTTGTCGAAAATAGTTTCATTCGTGAAGGATTTATATTCGAATAGAGAGTTTCTCACGACGAAGAAAAAGTTCATATTGATGCTCGTTGATATCATATGCATCACGACGAATCAAATCAAATTAGTTTTATTGGCGATGAAGATTATGGATAGGATTAAAAGGAGATTGTGAACGGTTATCGAATTTGATGGTTGCAAAAGAGGACGATGGAGATTGTTTACCTGTAATTCTCGTAGATATTAATCGAAAAAATTAGAATCGAATTTGCTAATTAGAATCGAATCGATGAGGAAAAAATTAGAATCGAATCTGCTAATTTTTATGTTTAATTTTAAAATAAAATAATTATATAAATTTAAAATTTATTTTTAAGGCAACATAAAATAAAACATTAACAAAATTAATTTTTATTTATATAAAAAAATAATTCCACGTTATTTTAAAGTAAATAATTAATTGAGATGGTAAGGGTAAAATTGGAATATTTTTTTTGTTGTGAGTTCGTGAGTATGAAAATAACAACATTTAATTGTGTAGGTATTAAATCGCACAGTTTTATTAGTATGTGTATTTTTTTTCCAACCGAAAACAATTGGGTATTAAACGTCCAAATAAAAAATACATGAGGTTTTATTATCTCACACGATAGTGAGAAAATATCATATCAAAGAAATTTCCGTCACTGGAAATTATTCCCACCAACAAATTTCCGTCACTGGAAATTATTCCCACCAACTGAGCAGCTCCAGTATGTCCTCCATTGTTTCACAAACCTCCATAGTAGAATTCTCTGCTGGCATCGGAATATAAGGTAATATTGTAGAAGCATCGGTCAATGGTTTGGTGGTCTGGGTTGTTGTAGCCTCCAGACTCAAATTCATCTCCCCATATAACATATCTTCAGAGTCATCATCATTCTCACTGTTTGTCGTTTCACCATCGGATTCAGTGGTCTTGAGAAAATCATCGTTGTTGATTGTGACATACCTTATGTAGTTTTCAAGGATGTTATTGCCGACAGGTTTGACAATTCTACCACTTTGATTTTGCACCTTGCGCTTTGTGCCGTTCCAATGGTTCTTAACATTGTTATAGCTCCTCCCTGGAAGTTTCTGTGCGATCTTGATCCATTGGGTACCAACTACTTTGTGTTCTTCAATCAATATTTGTTCTTCTTCTTCACTCCATTTAGTTTTCTGAAATCACATATTATTTATATATAATTGTGTGTATTTACATATACATAAATCATGCTCTTATTATTGTATGCCTATGACATTTTGCATAGATGGAAGCAAGATACAAACTATAAAGATGCACGTTTTAATTATAACCCCTTTTAATAACTATGAGAAAACAAAATTTGCCTATGTATTGTGTATCCAGGTTGATATTAAATCGTTAGCCACACCACTATTAAACTATATGAATTGCAATATATATACTATATATACATGTGTGCGTGCACATTGTAAGTATGTATTTGCTTTCACACAAACATTTTTTTTTTTTTTATTCACACAAACATTTACATGTATGTGATTAATAATAAACCAAAAAAATCATGATAATGCCATAGTTATTTGTATGTAACCTTTATATATACACATATAAGTTGTGATGATCAGGGGCGGAGGCAGTGAGATAGGAGGGGGGTCAGTTGACCCCCATGACTTTTAAAATTTTTTTTTTTTAAGCTTATTCGAATATTCATTTGGCTTCAAATCTCTGATATGACCCCATGTGCCTAGTTAAAATTTCCTCTTTGCACCCTACGTCCAATTACCCATTATTAATTAATCCTTTAACCTTTTTTTTCATAACAATTAAAAAAGTTATAACTGTATTTGACTCAATAAGCCTGCAATCTGCTGCTTTTTGACGTTTATTCAATTACCATGTAATCTGTGTTTACCTCTTCATCCTTTCTTCATAGAGAGATTGACACAAATAGCCCCAAAAAAGTTGTTTTTTCCAAAAATAGCACCTCATTTGAAAAGTTCCACAAATAGCACCATAAACTTCAATTTAACTTAATGAAAATATAAGATAGAAAATAGAAAAGAGAGCAAACACTAATCTAATATTAAATTGAATCAAAATTGTTTTTAAATAGTGGAAATATATACCCTAATTTGGAAATAGGGAACCCAAATATAATACCACAAACTAATATTAAAATAAAAATCTCTTTTAAATGGTGGAAATATATACCCTAAATTGGAAATAGGGAACCCAAATATAATACCATAAACTAATATTAAAATGAATCAAAATTTCTTTTAAATGGTGGAAATATATACCCTAAATTGGAAATAGAGAACCCAAATATAATATTTTAAATTTATTTCTAATTTATTTTGTTGAATAGCTTTTATATAAAAATTGTGGTATTATTGAAAAAAAACTAGTGATAAAATTTTTAGATCAAAAACACTAATAATAAGTTAACTAGTGCTATTTTTGGAAGTTTATGGAGTGTGTGCTATTATTGTCAATAAAACTTGTTTTAGGGCTATTTTTAGGAATTTCTCTTCTTCATATTAATTTTTCATGTTTCCTTTTTTACTTAAATATATTTCTTTTTATTCCCTGCATATGAAATAAAATTTTATAATTGTTATGATTTTTTCTAATATTATATATATGGCTGTCAATTAAAAGAATCCGGTTTTAGAAGTATCAATTAATTAATATATGCACACTAAGCTATAGTAAACAAATATTGAGAAAATAGGTTAAATAACATACAACTTTTTTTCTTAACATAATTTTAAATTAGTTTTAAAAATAGAAAAGGATGAAAATTATGAAGTTACATATATATCTTCTACGAAACGTGCGTTATATTATTTTCAAAAAAAAAATGATTAGTGGAGTTTATAGTAATAAAATGAGGTGTTTCTATTTTATTAAAGAAAAATGTAATAGCAAAACATGTGTAAAAATCAGTACTGAAATGTTGAGTTAAAAAAAATCAGCAATGAAATTTTGTTATTATATACTTACGTTAATATATGACCCCCGTGGCAAATATTTCTGCCTCCGCCACTGGTGATGATGATCAATTATATTAACTTATGAAAATAATAATGTAGGGATATGAAAGAAAATAACACCTTAATGTCAGGATGAACATGGTTATACCACCTCTCTCTGCATTGTTTTCCGGTTCGTCCTTCGAACT